TTAAGTCACGTATCATGCTAATACTACCAGTTATTATAATTCAAATTTACATCCAGAACGTTGTGTATTTCTCAAACAACATGTTTGGTCAGTCACCTGGCATGATCATCCTTACCTAGAATAACTTCAGGTGCTCTGTAGTGCCTGGTTGAAACAATGGTGCTGTGGTGCTCGTGGTCAAATGTAGCGCTGCCAAAATCCACCACCCTCACTGCCGTGTTCTTCACAGTACGCTCATCTCGCTTCTACCAAAGAGAGAATCTATATTAGTGGTCAGCTAATGGAGTTTTTGACAGCTGATGTCAACTTACAAAAAATATTGGTTTGGTTGAAAGCTAATGAAACTCATCACCTTCTCCACATTGTATGTGATTGTGAAGTCAGAGTTGACGAACAGGATGTTTTCTGGTTTCAGGTCTGTGTGGGTCAATTTGTTTTCATGCAAAACTGCAAATAAGGAGAAACAGACCAACTTAGCATATTTACAAATATATAGAGGACTGGCCCTTTAATACATGCCAGATGGAGTGCAACATCTGCTTTATCTATGAAAAACTTTCATTCCAATTTCAATATGATTTTTGAAAAGTGTTTACACTTACACTTGACAGCTAAGCAGATCTGGTAGGCCATATGACGGACTTGGCTAATGGAGTAGGGCAGGTAATTGTTTTCTTTGAGGAAATCAAAAGTGCTGAGAGCCAGCAGCTCAAAACTGATACACATATGACCATGATAGTCGAACCAGTCAAACATCTGCACACACAGACTAAGAAATACAGAAGAGAAAATATTGTTTAAGTTATTAATACAGTGGTCTTTGGCAAGTCTGCACCTAGATGCTCTATACTTTAAGTACTGCACGTACAATTGCTCAAAACATGCTGAATTTTATAAAGATTGTGATCCAAACTCACTTCTTATTCTCAGGATCCTTCTCATTGATTCGTTCTAGTACATTGATCTCCAGCCTGGCAGCCTCCTTGTACTTCTCCACATTTTTGATGATCTTCAGAGCGACATGTGCTCCACCCCTTAGCCAAGCAGAAGTGCATACATGTTTTCAGTCTAGTAGAAGTAGTAGACGAAATGAACTACTTTGCTCACGGGACTATAGTAAACAGATGTCTTGTTTGTTGTAGAGAGACGCAAGTAAAACTGATAATCAAAACGCTCACTATAGAGCAATAAAAGCACTGGCAAGAGATGGGGTGGTTCTTATTTTGCTGAACATTTTCTTAAAGGAAACATCAGCCTGTAAGCCCTTGCTTTTCTTGCTGCCTATAATAACCACGTACTGCATTTCTGGCCCCAAGAGCAGATATTTCCCAGCCTAACAGCTAGACAGACATTTTAACAGCCAAGCAACACTTTTTCGTTTGAAGTTCACACCATGTTGGTTTTGTAGTAAAGCAACTGATTGGTTGCTAAGAGATGACGCTCACCTGCGATGATCAATACATTGCATCACCCTCCCGAAGGTGCCCTCGCCCAAAGTGCTGGCAATCTCATCTAAGAGACAAATAGAGGGAAAAAGACGTAGAGAAAGCGGAGGGGGAGATGTAAAGAGAGCAATTAGACAGCACATTTAAAGAGAAATCCTAAACAAACTTCCTACAATCACATTTTTAATCATAACTGTGACTATCTATTTGGGTTAACCTAAAAAAAAAACAAAAAAAACAAATATCGGACAAGTGTCAATATGCACACACTCGATGAAAGGAATAAAGTAAACATGGATTGAAAAAAAACTGCACATTTTTCAACAACAAAAAAAAATTCTAATAAATTTTTTTTTAATTCGAATTAAATTGATTTAAATCTGCATTTCTGCAAAAATGGCCCGACGTAGACATAAGCAGCCTTTATTAGATAAAATGTTTAACTAAACGATTTTAAAACTATGGGATTGCTTTAAGCCAATTCGAAAACAAAAAATTACTGTATCTTCTATGAAAAATGACACGCATAGTCACTCTGGAAACATTGCGAATGTCACAGAGCAATCACATGATTGATTGACAGCATACGATGTAGGCGCAATGTGAATCTTGATGCAGCCAAATGCTGCAACAAGACCAGAATAAAACGCACATTATGGGGACGTGGAAAAGCTAAATCTGGGAAGCTGGCAGTCAAGAATTAAAAAGGATCATAATTCTTCTACACAGCAACACAAACAGCCCAACCCCATTGAAAAGAATGAATAAAGGAGCTACTAAAAGACATGTTGGACATGCCTTCCCCCTTGCCTGTTCCGGCAAAAGGGGAGAACATTCTATGGCAGCATCATCATCACCACCAACATCATGATCATGACCTCCTGCCCTCCCCTGTGTGTGTCTGCTGTGTGCTGGTACTGATAGGGAGAAAGGTTACGATATAGGAGTAGAGGAGTAGTAGTAGTGGCAGTGTGTACATCTCTCTTGCAGGACGTCGCCACTCCGACAGATCAGGTGACCCTCCTCGTCGTCCCTCACACAAAGTGCCCGCGTCCCGCTGTCACTCCGCTGCTTCAGCCCCAGCCAGGGTCACAGGTCAGAGGTCACGCCACGACCGCAGTGGGAGGAGGGGAGGTGGGCGGAGCGGGGAGAGTGGAGGGGGACAGCCGTAGCCACGGCGACGAAGATGAGCAGTGTTGTAGTTGTTGTAGGTAGGTTTGGTGGTCATGGGGCGATTCGTTTGACACCACGTGAGGAGATATATATAACGATAGGGATATAGTGCAAGGGATCAAGTCAAAGATAACATTTTACCCCTCCCTTCTTGCTTGCTTTCAAACTCCCCCTCATCCCTCTGTCACAAAGTCACAAAAAGCAACCTGCATCAACATTTACTCATAGAAGAGCACATGAGTAAAGGCATTGCTAATTCACAACTATTACATATCCAAAGCAAAAGGTTGCTCTACTGAAAGACTGGAAATAAAATTAAAAAGAGCTGAAATTATGAAATAACTTTATATGCTTCCATTTAAAAAAATCTATTTTTTAACATCTAAATTGTGTGAAAGAGTAATATAAGTGTGTAGATAGATCAAGATAAAGAATGGATGAGAGTTATGAGATATTAATTATGGAGGCTCTCCCAACAAACCTATTTTCTACTATTAATATTAACATTAATATCTATTGGATTGAGCCTCACTATAATGCTAGATGGGGCTAATTTGATTATAAACACTGAAAGCCAAGACTTGGACTATCACTATTAAAAAAGACAAAACGTCAACAAAAAGAAGAACATAAAACAAAGGAGTTCATACTTACCAAATCCTGGGGCTGTGGAAAAGAAAAGCATTATGGAGAAAGAAAGACAGGAGCGTGTAGGGGTAGAGATAGGAGAAAGGATTTGGGGGTGGGAAAGAGCAGGCTCGGGTATTGAAGTACTCACCGAGGACGATGGGCTATAGGACCTGGTTCTACGCCGCCTTCGTTTGTGCTTACGCCTGCTGCCTTTCCCCCGGTACGAGTCCTCACGGTCCCGATCGCGGCCCCGGCGGTAGTCATAGCTGGGCGAGGTGTCGCGGGAGTAGTAGTTGCTCGGCGTCCCGTGCTCCCTGTCCCAGTCGCGGCTGTGGTCTAGGCGCCGATAGCTCTCGCCGTAATGTCTGTCGTAAGGCCTGCGGTCTGAAGAGCGGTTGTCGTAGCTGGGGAGAAGATAAGTGCCATTTAACACTTTACAGAATTACAAAATGATTCTGCTTCAAAGTAACCACTGCATACTTCCTGGTTTTGAATTAATATTCATTAAAAAAAAAACTTTACCATATTATCAGGTTTAAACATTACCACAGGTTAATTATTAAACCTTAATAATTAAAGTTTAAACCATTTTGACTGCAAATAAAGTCAGTGGTGAATACTGCATACATAGAGGAAATTCAAATCTGAAAAATTATTCATAAGAAATCCAAAAAGAGAAGAGGCAAAGGAACTACTAACTTCATCTCATGTAGAACTAGTAAATACAATAAACGTACCATATGTTAATCAAATAGCAATTTATTTGGGAAAAGAAGTGATTTATCTTTTTTTTATTTTTTATAATGTAATATGCTGATTTGCTGCTCAAGAAACATTTCTTATTATCAGTGCTGATAACAGTTTTTGTTACTTAATATGCATATTAAAAAGTAAGATTATTATATTTATTACTAAATATACACAAAGTAAATATTACTATTGTAATACTTCCCTGAAAACCAACTGCTATCAGCTTGTGCTTTTTTCAGCCGTGTAAGGCATCAAGCAATGGTAAACCATGAAATTTTGGTCAATGGTTCCAGTACTTGATCATACCTCCTGGATCGGGCATAGCCGGGATTCTGTCTGTGTCCTCTCCCCCTCCTCTCACGTTCACTGCTGGAGGAGAACGTCGGTGAGCGGCGATGCCGAGGTTTTCTCCCTCGATCTCTGTCCCGCTCCCGAAAACGACCTTGGTAGCTGCAGTGGCTGGCCCTCTCCGAGGATGGGTACCGTCTGGAGTGTGGCATCTGCACAAGCTGCAACAAATATATTATGATAAATACACGGGGGGAAAAAAAAGTATAATTAATATTTTATTATATATACACATACATACACACACACACACTTACATACATACATATATACACATATACATGTTTTTTTTTCTTTTTAATGGACATCAGAACATCTTGAACATTTTTATGAGCTGGACAGGTAAAAGCTGAACTACATGAATATTAACAACAGCATATTTTAAAGCAAGACAAGAACACAACATACATAAAATGTTAAAATCTCAATATGTTTTCATTAAGTATGGAAGACTGACATCTATATTTATATGCTAAAAATAAAGGAGGTGAGAATAACTAGTCTGTGACTTTTAGAAGTCACATTGATTTTGGACTCTTCTCTTCTAAAAAAAGCTTTTCACATGCTGGAAAAAGGTCTATAATCCAGCCATTTAATATAAACAATAATGAGTATATAGAGGAAAAAGCAAACAACTGTCTTAAGTTTATATTGGATTGAGTCTCACTATTTAATGTTACAGATGGGGCTAACACTGAAAGCCAAGACTTGGACTATCACTATCAAAAAAGACAAAACGTCAACAAAAAGAAGAACATAAAACAAAGGAGTTCATACTTACCAAATCCTGGGGCTGTGGAAAAGAAAAGCATTATGGAGAAAGAAAGACAGGAGCGTGTAGGGGTAGAGATAGGAGAAAGGATTTGGGGGTGGGAAAGAGCAGGCTCGGGTATTGAAGTACTCACCGAGGACGATGGGCTATAGGACCTGGTTCTACGCCGCCTTCGTTTGTGCTTACGCCTGCTGCCTTTCCCCCGGTACGAGTCCTCACGGTCCCGATCGCGGCCCCGGCGGTAGTCATAGCTGGGCGAGGTGTCGCGGGAGTAGTAGTTGCTCGGCGTCCCGTGCTCCCTGTCCCAGTCGCGGCTGTGGTCTAGGCGCCGATAGCTCTCGCCGTAATGTCTGTCGTAAGGCCTGCGGTCTGAAGAGCGGTTGTCGTAGCTGGGGAGAAGATAAGTGCCATTTAACACTTTACAGAATTACAAAATGATTCTGCTTCAAAGTAACCACTGCATACTTCCTGGTTTTGAATTAATATTCATTAAAAAAAAAACTTTACCATATTATCAGGTTTAAACATTACCACAGGTTAATTATTAAACCTTAATAATTAAAGTTTAAACCATTTTGACTGCAAATAAAGTCAGTGGTGAATACTGCATACATAGAGGAAATTCAAATCTGAAAAATTATTCATAAGAAATCCAAAAAGAGAAGAGGCAAAGGAACTACTAACTTCATCTCATGTAGAACTAGTAAATACAATAAACGTACCATATGTTAATCAAATAGCAATTTATTTGGGAAAAGAAGTGATTTATCTTTTTTTTATTTTTTATAATGTAATATGCTGATTTGCTGCTCAAGAAACATTTCTTATTATCAGTGCTGATAACAGTTTTTGTTACTTAATATGCATATTAAAAAGTAAGATTATTATATTTATTACTAAATATACACAAAGTAAATATTACTATTGTAATACTTCCCTGAAAACCAACTGCTATCAGCTTGTGCTTTTTTCAGCCGTGTAAGGCATCAAGCAATGGTAAACCATGAAATTTTGGTCAATGGTTCCAGTACTTGATCATACCTCCTGGATCGGGCATAGCCGGGATTCTGTCTGTGTCCTCTCCCCCTCCTCTCACGTTCACTGCTGGAGGAGAACGTCGGTGAGCGGCGATGCCGAGGTTTTCTCCCTCGATCTCTGTCCCGCTCCCGAAAACGACCTTGGTAGCTGCAGTGGCTGGCCCTCTCCGAGGATGGGTACCGTCTGGAGTGTGGCATCTGCACAAGCTGCAACAAATATATTATGATAAATACACGGGGGGAAAAAAAAGTATAATTAATATTTTATTATATATACACATACATATATATATATATATATACACACACATACACACACACACATATATATATATACACATACATACACACACACACACTTACATACATACATATATACACATATACATGTTTTTTTTTTCTTTTTAATGGACATCAGAACATCTTGAACATTTTTATGAGCTGGACAGGTAAAAGCTGAACTACATGAATATTAACAACAGCATATTTTAAAGCAAGACAAGAACACAACATACATAAAATGTTAAAATCTCAATATGTTTTCATTAAGTATGGAAGACTGACATCTATATTTATATGCTAAAAATAAAGGAGGTGAGAATAACTAGTCTGTGACTTTTAGAAGTCACATTGATTTTGGACTCTTCTCTTCTAAAAAAAGCTTTTCACATGCTGGAAAAAGGTCTATAATCCAGCCATTTAATATAAACAATAATGAGTATATAGAGGAAAAAGCAAACAACTGTCTTAAGTTTTTACACTATTATTTACCCTATGTGTGCAGTTTATAGAGGCAGGTCTAGAACAGGTCTTAAAACACTTGGAAGGACAGACAGAATGAGACGTTAACTTAACATAAGAAAATCTGAGATTTTAATTAATAAAATTTGCCACGTTATTTTTATTTTAGTGACACACGTTACTGTTAAGCAATACTGAATAATGAATAAAGGGCCACTCCGGTCTGCATGGAAAACTTTATATGATATCAAAGATTTTTATGCATATGTATTATGCATGAAAACATTAAGGGAGAAAATTATTCGAGACCTCAGAAAAATAAATTAGAGTTAAGAAATAAGAATTAATATGACTATTTAAACATAAACATGTATTTAAACTTCAAGTTGAAATACCAAGAACCTCGAAATTAACGGTAGTAACGAACGTGAGCAGATTTACATATATATATATATATAAAATAAGAAAAAACTACATTTTCTCTGAAACTAATGGATAGGCTAACCAACTAACGTTAGCTCAAGTTGTTATTGTTTTTCATCACGATTTCTTTTACAATGTAACAGCAGGGAATCCATTTATTAGTCGTCTCTATTGTTATAAAATGTGCGGCAATGTCGATACATTACATGGCATCGTAACGTTTGAAACACATCAGATAAATATGATATTTTTCTAGCTGACCAGCAGCTCTTCGCGTCGACGGCCATTTTGAGATCTTCTAATCTTCAACGGGCCATTTCTCAGATGCTCGTTCGTGGGTAATTCGGCTGAGAGTGGGGCAAAAAGTGACAGACAGTAAAAAAAAATGTTTTGTAATTACCGTCTTAGCAGCCAGTCCTGTCCGTTTATCCCAAAGAAAATCCGTGTTTACGCTTCGCCTCCAATTTTCTTACTTGGGACAAGCTCGGGCCCAATTAAACATTGAAGAAAAACAACTTCCGGTCCCTCCTCCAACCTTCTTTATACGCGCGCGTGCCATTTGCACATCCGACGTAAACAACGCAATATTTATTCCGTGATAATGATCCGCAAAAATGTGCAGTTACCAAATAACAGTTACTACAATAACCACAATGTCTTCACAAAAAGTAAACAAAGTGGAAAAAGAAAGAAAAGCTTATATTTGAAAGGGATTCCTTTATTTTGATTTTACAGTAGTAATAATTGTAGTTATTTTATGTTTGATACTACAGTGAGACTAAAGCCCCGTTCACACCAAGAACGATAACTATAAAGATAATGATATTAGCGTCCACACCAGCGAACGATATCGCCTGTTTATGCGTCTGCCGCTTTAAATGCTTGAGCTCGTTACAGCAGGACGGATTCTGATTGGCTGTCAGTGTTTCATCGGTTCGTCAGCTGGGAAAAAAATCGTTTTGAAAAGTGATTCCAACGATATCGTTATAGTTGTGGTGTGAACTATGCTATTCTTTAATATTGAGAACGATTTTTAGAACTATATCTTTAGTTACCGTGCTTGGTGTGAATGGGCCTTAACACAGTAGACAATTGTATATATTACACACATCATTTTGTCATAAAAGAGAAAAATGTATTCCCCCTCCCCCAACGTGATTATTTTAATAGTAATTGTTCATACTTAGCTTTTTTTTTACCTGCATATTTGACTTAAAATAAATTACATACAAGATAAAACATTACACAAAAAGTCGTTTTTTGATATTTGCACATTTTATTTACATCAAGTAAGTGGCTATTAACAATACTCGTAGAGGTTAAAACAATAAAAGCAACAACACAAACTTGAATATATTTTATTATTCTTTTCATATTCAAAGGCTCATGATTGGAATGCTCTTCCAGAACAGTGTCACAACTATGTTTCTGATGGCTTGGTGAAACGGTTTACAATGATAACACCTCTATTAAAGTTGTAGTGTTTTTTGTTGAAAGCAGTATATCAGAGCAGCCTTCCTGTGCACCGCAGAGAACCACAGCAGCAGAGCAGAACCTTCCCCTCCACACTGCCAACCTTATAGTTATAATCCCACGTCACCTCTGTACCCGCCTTGATGCGCCTGGTAAAGAGAGATCAAAGGAAAAACAGAATAAGACAACTTTCTGGTCTGGATATAACATTTAAAAATATAAATAAAAAGACCGCATGTGTTTTTATAAAAACAAGATTAAAAATAGCAAGAGTTTCCAGCAAAACTTCAGTTTCTGTAATAGAAAATGGAGCTGGTATTAATCAAGGCACTGACTTGCTGGCAAAGAACGCCACCCATGGAAACCGTAGGTCATGTGTGTCGACAAAGACGTTCTGAACAAACAAATTCGGACTGCAGCTATGCTGTAGAGAGAGATGCAGATTTAAGAGTAAAACACACACAAAAAATTTTTTCCGTCTACAATCACGAAAGGCTACGTTTAGCTTACGTTGATGAAGCGGCCGAGGTTGCCCTCTTGTCTGGCATCAATGATGTAACAGGCCTCCTCGCCGTTGAACAGTCTGCGGGTGTTGTTGCCAGTTAGAGTTGTCCTCATTTTCTCGTTCTTTGCATCCGTGGTTACTAGTGGTTTTACTCTTCTCTGGAATGACTTTCTGGCAAAGCAACGCTTTGGACCTGAGGTTTCTTGACCTGTAGACACAAATTATAGACACTAAAAGCATAAAATGAGGAACAGAAATGGAGAATAGAGAGAATGGAAACTGACCGTCCTCTCTCATTTGTTTGGTCACTTTCTTCTGAGCATCTTTAGATGTTTCATGTGGCTTATGGGATAGTTTTCTCACTGAACAGGTAAAGAGGACAGGTAAAAAAAAACATCAAGTTAGTTTGCTACACAGTGTTCCCGAAACATTCATTTTGTCTTATTAGTTACTTATAATTATGTACTTTTCCCATCACCAGCAAAGAATGCAAAACAGGTAAAGACCGTTACTCTATTATACTCTACAAATATATCTGGTATATTGCATGTGTTGTTTGTACGTTTCCCTATTAGATTAGCTGAGTTACCACTCGTTATTTGTATTAGTTAAAGCCATAAACACTGATATTCAGGTGTATGTATGTATCTTTGGTTTAATCTATTCTAAATGTTTGTTTCTTGGTATCAATATTATCTGCTTTTCATTCCTCAAACAATGATGTACAGTATGTGATTCTGAAACGCATCATACGATTTGTACTTTATTTTGGGTTAAAACAACAGAAATTCCAGACCGGCCATAAAACATGAATGAACCAAGAGCTTGTAACACTCCAAAGAGAAAGGAAAATTTGAAATCGCATCATATGACCCCTTTAATGTTTATGTGAATATAATGGGCGATATATTGCGTCACCAAAAATGATTGAGGTCATGTACATATATTGAGTGATAAGTCGATATATTGATTGCGACAGGCCTATTCAAAACATTAATAAAAACAATAACAGTATAGAAAAAAATACTAGTAACACTGCATCTTACCTTCCATTTCTTGTTCTGTGTCCAGCTCCATAGGTTCTTCTCTTTCTATGGAAAAAGCAACATAAAAGATTTCACAGTTGCACACAGACGTGAAAAGACATGCTATTGTTTGGCTAATATGTGCAAATGCTCATAAAGCTGAATATTTACACACACCACACACCTTCACTACTGCTAGAGTCTTCTCGGTAGAGAGTGTTTTTCCATAACGGCCCTGTTTTCATGCTTATGGTCTTCTTGTTGCTTTCGACCTCTGTGTCCGAGCAGTACGCCGCGCTCTCATAACCCTCTTTCAGTTTCTCCACACCCTCAATGAAGTCCAGGTTGGCCAAATAGTCATTGCCGGACACTGTGTCATCCTCATTCATTCGGTCTTCGTTTATTATTTTACCTGTGAGGTGATAGATGGAGGTGATGGGAGGAATTTTGTTGTGTTTAAAGAACTAAAATTTATGTTCACTTACCAGTGAAAACACACACAAATGTGCCCTTGGCTACATCATCTTTGCAGCGGATGCCCCATCCCTTGTGCTGTGTCATGAAGAGCTCCAGCCGCAGCTGCAGACCATGCTGAACCAGCCTGTTGCTGCATGTTCTTGGATCACAACGGCACAGAGGGTTACATTCATACACCCTACAGGGATGGAAGTGGAAGTGTGATGTCATTTTTGTGGTTAGAAATGTTATACACTACCGTTTAAAAGTTTGGGCTCAGTGAGTTCTCTTTTCTTTTTTGAAAAATAATTTGATACTTTTATTCAGCAAGGTAAAGACTTCAATTGTTACAACTTAATGTTGTACTTTTGAACTTACCATCCATCAAAGAGTCCTGAAAAAATTTATCATGGTTTCCACAAAATATTAAGCAGCACAACTGTTTCCAAGATTGATAATAATCAGAAATGTTTCTTGAGCAGCAAGTCAGCATATTAGAATGATTTCTGAAGGATCATGTGACACTGAAGACTGGAGTTATGATGCTGAAAATTCAGCTGTGCTGAACCATACGAGAATCAGACAGACAGAAAAACAGACAAAGGTCGTTTCTAACCCTGTTGGCAAGGTGGTTGGTAACCTCTTATGCGTGTATCCAGCACTAACATCCACTGGACCACCACTGCATAAGGACGTGGCTTCAATGGTCAGCTGGTGGCATGCACACTTTGACCTGTCACACATACAAATACAAAATGTTTAATAACAATTTCCATAATTTAAAAGGAATGTTCCAAGTTCAATCCAATTTACATAGTCAATGTCTTGTTGGTAATCTAAAATCAAAAGGTGTTATCAGCCCCTTCATTATTAATTAATTACTTCAAAGCCAAAAAAACACCTTATCTGGGAAGCCATATTTTGGTTATGACCTCAAGAATTATGATCACAAGAACTGTGATTGTCGGTTAGGAATTGGTAGATGCAGTACATAGACAAACTGGTTTGTCTAAACGGTTAAAAAAAAATTGGAAAATGTTACAATCTACATCAAATATTTTAAGGCCACCAACAACAAATAAGCAAAAAGTGTAGCAACACACTCAATTCAACAAGGGCTGACCCTTTTACTGTCTTGCCTTACAGACATCCATTGCAAGTGGCACTTTTGTCTGTTTACAAATTGAATGATGACTTGAGTCTAAAGCATCTTCTGAAGGAATGGACAACATGCCACAGATAAACAGCTGTAAATAAAGCTCGACCTGTACTAAATCTGTAACATACCTAAAACATTTCACACACAAATGCAGACTCAAAAAACTGTACCTGTCCAGACAACCATCTGTGCAGTCACAGCCGATCAAGAAGTCTGAGCTAGTATTAACAGAAACACCTGGAGCTGGAAATTTGGTTATGACCTCAAGAATTATGATCACAAGAACTGTGATTGTCGGTTAGGAATTGGTAGATGCAGTACATAGACAAACTGGTTTGTCTAAACGGTTAAAAAAAAATTGGAAAATGTTACAATCTACATCAAATATTTTAAGGCCACCAACAACAAATAAGCAAAAAGTGTAGCAACACACTCAATTCAACAAGGGCTGACCCTTTTACTGTCTTGCCTTACAGACATCCATTGCAAGTGGCACTTTTGTCTGTTTACAAATTGAATGATGACTTGAGTCTAAAGCATCTTCTGAAGGAATGGACAACATGCCACAGATAAACAGCTGTAAATAAAGCTCGACCTGTACTAAATCTGTAACATACCTAAAAAATTTCACACACAAATGCAGACTCAAAAAACTGTACCTGTCCAGACAACCATCTGTGCAGTCACAGCCGATCAAGAAGTCTGAGCTAGTATTAACAGAAACACCTGGAGCTGGAACTCTGTCTTTGGTGTAGCTGATGTTAGGAGCAAGCGTGTTGTCCACTTCATTAACGCAGGGCACCGGCAACACCTCTCTGCCCTCTGAGATGTCCGGCAGGTAGAGGTGAGGCTTGCCAGTTGATGTGGAAGGAGGTCGGGCGCGATTTACAAGAACAAATGGGTCCATACAGAACATTTCCAGGAAAAGGAAGTCACAGCGTGTTTCAAACAAGTACTCCTGCACTTCCTGCATGTCGCACAGGCTCCGCCCACATGGTGAACGATAGAAAATGTGGAAAAACACCTAAAGAGGGCAAATAACAAGGTTCCTTGAACAGCAAATCAGCATTTCAGAATGATTTCTGAAAAATCAGGTGACACTGAAGACTGGAGTAACAGCAGCAGAAAATTAAGATTTGCATCACAGGAATACATTTTAAAATATAATCAATTTCATATTGTAATACTACTTAACAACTTCATCAAATGCCACCCACCTTTCCATCGATGCGCCTTCTAGCAGTCATTCGCCTAAACTTAAAAAGCAGTGGGATAAGAAGTGGATTTTGACCACGGTGCATGTCGACTTGAGACGGTCTCACCCCATCCAGACATGCTGGACAACAGCGATGATGCAAGTATATGGACTTGTACTGGTGTTGCTTTGAAACACGCTCTTCTTCCTCAGAAACAAGCTCTTCTTCCTCAGAAACAAGCTCTTCTTCCTCATCAGGGGCAGGTCGTTTTACACTTCTAGAATATAGAGCCCGATATGACGTGGTTGGTGATGAGAAATTCAAACTACTCCGTAATTGAAGAAACAGTTCACCCAAAAATGAAAATTGGCTGAAAATGTATTCACCCTTAAACCATCCAAAAGTAACAGATTCATTGGTGAGCAAGTGATGTAAAGCTAAATTTCTCCAAATCTGTTCCCATGAAGAAACTACATTTTGGGATTGCCTGAGTGCAAGTACAATTTCAGCAAATTGTAATTTTTGGGTTAACTGTTCCTTTAACCAGGACAAGCCCATTACTCACCTTAAATTTGAGGTACTGTTTGCAGTAGCAGATTCTACTGTGTGCATACTATCCTTTGATACACAGACGGCTGAAAGCATAGTCAACCTCTGGAGGACGACCTTTGGCTGGAAAGCAGCTGACATGATTTTTTGAGGGCTAATAGATAATGTTTTGGTGACTGGATCAGATTGTCGGATCGCCCACACAGGAGATACAGCTGCTGAGGTGACAGATGTTGAAGTAACAGTCGCTGAGGCAACTGTTGTCAAGGAGGAGGTTATGTTGCGCTGAGGTGTGGCATTTCCTGCTAAACAACAGAGTTGGGCATGTGATGTCAGATTTTCATATCACAATTATATCTGAAATTTTTATCACAGAATTGTATTACATTACACACAAAAAAAGATAAATAAAAATGTGCTGTCCTCCTAAATGTATTAACTTTTTTAAATAAGAAGAAAATTGAACATTTAAATAAAATAACACAACAACAAAAATGTATAATGCAAACAAATGTTTCAAGAGATTAGACTGCAAAAGAGCACAACTACAGTTTTTTTTGTAAGGCTAATGAGCATGTTCATTAACCCAAAATACAGTTTTACTATATTTAGTAATATATAGTATATATATATATTATAAATATATATAAATAGGCACATGTCTATTTGGGAACATGCATAAAAGAGGCAGTATGTGCATGAAACACAAAGTCTACTTGTTACTGCAGGCTGTTGCGCTTTCTGTTGCTGTGGTTGTTCCGTTTTCTGTTGAGATGGTTGTTGCAGTTTATGTTGTGTTTTCTGTAGAGCTTTTTTCTGCGGTTTATCTTTAGCCAGACGCTGCTTGATATTTACAATGTGTTCCAACTTGTCTGAGCCTTTAAAAATCCACTCTTTCTGCTTGTCTTTCTAGAAAACAACAACAACACATTTATCAGCATCAAAATGGTCGACTTGTGGTATTACAGTGATGCCTTAAAATGTGATACAGCCTACAAAATTCACCAACAAATTTATCTCCAAAATCAGAATCTCCTAAAATCTGCCAGTAGGGTTAAGTGAGTTGACTGTGGGAGAAAACTTATGAAATGAAATTCTGTGACATTCCCATGAAGTACCCTTTGTTGTTCATGTTCCTTGGTACAAAGGCAATAAATAGTTAAATGCAGATGAAAGAAGAGTACCAGGTTCACAGAGAAATCTAGCATCCCACAGTGGATTCATTTTCACCTTAAAGCAGATCTGGATGAGGCTGCCATCCAACTGGAGCACCGTGCAAGCCTCAAAATTGCCATTCTGCATCGCCATGGTGTCTTGCCCCACGCGAAGCACCACAGCAATGGGGTTGGGATAGACACGAAGATATTCCTTAACCTGCAACTGTAATGTCTCATCCTCAATGTCCTTCCACACCTTTTTCACTGCAAAGAAAGTAAGTTTACAAAACTCTCTTTTAGCGGTCAAGTGATTACATGGGGTCTTAAAGGGGTCATATGATACAATTTCAATTGTTCCTTTCTCTTTAAAGTGATACAAGCTCTTGGAGCATAAAGAACACTTTACTTCTGTAAAGTTGCAAAGACTAGGCCTCTCTCATCTTTTTAAGTGGGAGAACTTGCACAATTGGTGGCTGACTAAATACTTTTTTCCCCCACTGTACAGTATGTGGAAAATAATGTGTTTTTTGAACCTTAAACCGCATTAAACATTTCATTACACCAAATACACAAAATACTGTTCTTTTTAGCAACATCATATGACCCCTTTAAACTAATGGCTGAAATGGAGTAATAAAGAAATTAAGAATGAGAATTTCTCACATTGTTTGCAGACAACATGAAAGTCTGGAAGTGCCAGGTAATCTACTTGGCCGTCATCATAAAACACCAAGAACCTGATAGAAACATTTAACAAATGGATTTAGTTATTATATCAGACATATACTATATTATATGTACATATATTAAAACAAAGAAAATAAGACACTTGTTAAATACTAATATTGAAAATTGAAAACAAAACAAAATGCAATAGCCTGGACATTATGCTAAATATTTTCTTTCATGTTTCATGAAAGAACAAAAAAGAAAAAACAGTTACTGTCCGCCTCTGGTCATTCATAATCACTACCATCCTGCTTTTGTGGGGGTGGGTAGGGGTGTTAATTTTTTCCCCCATAGGTTTTTAACATTCTAAAAGCTCTTTATTCCAAAGATACTACAAGCTAGTAGGTGTAATGTATTCTAAGTTGCATTGACATAAAAAAAAGAAATTTACTTTTGGTACTTAAGTACTTCTAAAAGCAAGTACTTCTGTACTTTCACTTAAGTAAAAATCTGTCTTTACAACTTTTACTTGTAATGGAGTAATATTTGACCAGCAGTATCTGTACTTTCACTCAAGTAATAGAGTTGAGTACTTTGTCCGCCTCTGTGAATGACCTGAGGATAAGAGGACTATCCCTTGAACATAAATTCACCTCATGCGATTCTTGCGCTCAGGAAGCTCAACCAGCACAGCAGCATTAAACGAGACCTTTCCTTCATCATCTTTGCTGCTGGCCACAACACGACAGCCAATAAACAAATCCTTAAGCACGGGAGGCTTCAGAGAGGCCACATGATGAGCAGGCAGCACAATCTCTTTACCACTCTTAAACTCCACCTTGTATCTGAGGCCATCCTCTAAAAGGAAAGAAAGATAAGACAGGTCAAAAATGCAACCAAATCCATTAGATTTTCACCTTCATTTGAATGTATTGTGGATTTACAGAATAGGTCAGTCTTACCTGCTGTTTGGACTTCCTGTACTGTTCCTTTACACCACACGTTGTGTTGCCTTTTCCCCAAAACTCCCATGCTGACATTGAGTTTTATCTCTTTATGTTCTTGAGAAGGCTTGGAGGACTCACTGGATGAAGACTTGGAACCTAAGACAGAGTCAGTGACAGAGGACAAACACTGTTACTGTATGTATGGATGGACATATGGATGTCAGGTATATGTATATGCATATATATATATATATATATATATATATACACATACACTTCTGTTTAAAAGTTTGGATTTGTTAAGATTTTCTTTAATGTTATTGACAGGAGTATCTTATGCTCACCAAGGCTGCATTTATTTGATCAAAAATTGAGTAAGAACAGGATTATTGTGAAATAGCATTACTTTTCTAGTATATATATATGTATATGCATATATATATATATATATATATATATATATATATACATACACACACATATACACTTCTGTTTAAAAGTTTGGATTTGTTAAGATTTTCTTTAATGTTATTGACAGGAGTATCTTATGCTCACCAAGGCTGCATTTATTTGATCAAAAATTGAGTAAGAACAGGATTATTGTGAAATAGCATTACTTTTCTACTATAACCGGTCTATTTTGATTTCTATTCAAATGTAATTTATTCAAGTGAATACATATCATTTTCAGCAGAATTCAGCTGAATTTTCAGCAGCCTTTACACCAGTCTTCAATGTCACATGATCCTTCAGAAATCATTTTAATATGCTGATTTGCTGCTCAAGAAACATTTCTTATTATCAGTGTTGAAATCAGTTGTGCTGCTTCATATTTTTGTGAAAACTGTATTTGTTAACTAAAATGTATGACAGAAAATGTAAGATTAGTCATAACTGATTAGTTCAGATACATCTGTAACACATTATGTAAAGCATGAGTTAATATACTGTGATATGAGCTGTATAAATAAAAAATAAAGCTTACTTTCATCAGGACTGGAAGATTCTGCAGGAGCATTATTGCCGCCGGTATCATCAGTAGTATCTGTCGATAACTCTGACTGTGATTTAGGGGGTTTATGATCACGGTCTATCAATGACTCTGATTGTGATTTAGGGGGTTCATAATCACTGTCTGACGATGACTCTGAATGTGATTCAGGGGGTTCATAATCACTGTCATCAGGACTAGCAGACAGGTCCTCTGTGTCAGAGGGGTCATTATTATTATCTGCAGGCGATGATGCCCTTGTTGTTTCCCTTTGTGGGCAGGAAGTGCTAGTACCAGGCGCAGTGTTTTTTGAAGATCTCAGCCTAGTTGTTGGACTTATTGTGGGCACAGAGGGTTTGGCAGATTTGCTCGTTTTTGGCTTTCCGGTCTCATCTGTGGACTCCGAATCATGGCTGGCAAGAGTTACAGCTTCTTCTGAATTGCTCGGCAATGATGACACTTCAGGAGGAATCTCTGTGGTTGACTCACTGGCACTAACTTTCAATTGTTCCGAGTCGCCTGAAAATGAAGGGATTTCTGAAGACATTGCCGACAACGTAAGTCCAGTGTTACTTACTGCTTCGTGATCTGAATTGAGGCTGTTTGACTGTTCTAAATCGCTTTCAAGCAAAGATGTTTCAGGAGTTAATGCTGTCAGCTGAGGTTCAGTCTTAATTGATGATATTTTGAAAGGTTTTGAAATGCTTGGAGGCGAAGTCATTTCTGGCTTTATTACCGACAACTGAGGCTCAGTCTTTATTGTTGCTATAGATCCAAAATTAGGACTGGCAATTGTTTCTAGTGTTTCTGAAGGACTCACTGCTGTCAATTGAGGTTCAGTCTTAATTAATTTTAAGGATGGACAGTTAAGACTAGCAGCAGTTTCATGTTGGTTTGAAATGCTCATTTCCCAAGGGGTTAATGCTGTTGGTTGTGGTTCAGTCTTAATTGTTGGTTTAGAATCTGGCTTTTGACAGGCAATAGATTTCTTTTGTTCTGAATTCCTGAGAAGCGAGGACATTTCAGGTGCTCTCGATAGAGATTCGTTCTTAACTATTGCAATAGAGTTTTCAGGTATTTCCATTTTTAATGGTATTATTTTTGATGCGACAGATTCAGAATGGCTGGTCTCAGGGGTCAAGGTTGATGAGGGTCTGTTGGAGAAGTCAGACGATGATGGTGATACAGCACTTATGGAGGAGGTTTTGTTCACCATATGGACTAAGTCCTGAACGAGTCTGGATGACTTCTGAATGGCCACAGTCACCTTTTCAAGCTAAAAGAAAAAATTAAGACTTATCATTCAAATTACCATCATTTTAACATTGCATTTAAAACGTTTTAAAGAAGTTAAAATAAAACGTTTGAAAAAATAATACATTTTTACCTCTGACCTCACATGCGTTTTCTTCGTGTCAGTTGCGGTGAGTTCAAAAATGACCATGCAAAAGACGAGAAGGTGTGGGATTATTTTGAATTAGAAGGAAACTGAAAAATTTTGTGTAAACTGTGTAATGTCAAATTGTCTTACAATAACTCTACTTGAGCGATGCGTAATCATATTCAATACAGGCAGGTAAGCGTTAGCTTAGAGGCTGGCCAAAGCCAGCAAATGTCAATCACGTCATTTACTACAACCCGCCGGCGCTGCGATCCCATCCACGCCGTCTATTCCTCTAACGAAGACCCACTTCGGTGGTGGTGCGGGATGTCCAGGCGCTTTCTGAAACTCTATCGGCTTGCTTTTCATTATCTCTGCGTGCCTGCGACTTCAGTTCATGCCGAGCGCGTTTTTTCAAATGCAGTAATTGTATTGTTAAAAATAAACACCTGAGGTCCCGTCTTTCACCAGACCATGTTGATAATTTCACTGAACAAATAACTCATGGTCTGAGTAAGTAAAATGGGCATTGTTTTGTTTTCAGACAACATAGCCTACACGAAGTACGTTTTTAAGAGCGGTTTTAATGCTATTTCTTGATAAACCTTCCTATTGTTTTTGACTTGTGTTTTAATATGTTGGGTAACGTTATATGAAGATTAAGAATTCTGTCAGGCTATTGATTGATTTTCCATTGTTCTGCATTTCCCCAGCTGATTTGAATAAATAAGCTATGCTTTGGCCGACGTTGAGTGTATGATTTTCTTTTTTTTCTTTTTAACGACCGCCTAAAATGAAATTATGCTAACGCGAGGCAAGTGTGCGGCAAGCGGAATTGAGGGATTTGACAGTGTGATTTATAGATTAAGTATTTCAAATATAGGCTATTATATATACTACACGCACGCACAGAGGTTTTTTTCTTACCATCTTTTGGGGGTTTCTTGCTTTTAGACTAGTCGGATACAAAACTTTCGTTTAAACGACAGTCAAATAAGTCGTCGCGCACATCCCTAATTAATACATGTAAAAAAAAATTTGAAAAATGAATGAAAACAATGAAAAATTAAAAAAGTTCAAAAAGCACAATTTAAAGGAATAAAAAAAAAATACAAAAAGAAAAACGTAATACAAAATAACCTTATTGTATAACCTTCTTATTGCATGTAAATAAAATTGCATGTGTGACACCAATTTTTCAGTTAACATTCTCACCATTGGTTCCAAGGTTTCTTTGGTGGCTGCAAGAGAAAAATACAACATGGTATCAGATTTTTAATTACAAAGCCATCCTTTACAATATTAATATTTCCAAGCACTTTCCATTAAAATGTCTTTTACCTCCCAGATCAATGACAACAATATCATCATCATCTCCATTGAAGACACTATTTTCCTGTCTATACTCCTCTTCATCTGTGACATGAATGATGTCAGGTGGTTCTCCTCCTCCTCCTTCCTCCTCCGAATCCTCGTCTCGGTACTCCAATCCCAGCATTCCATAAAGACCCTTCATCACCGACTCACACTCAAGGACTGACCTGATACAGACACAAAACACAGTCAAATGGTCACCGTGATTTGGAGATACTGTCATCAATCATTAAAAAAACACAGTAACTCACTCGTGGGCATTGCCATACAGAAGGTGGGTGTAAGTGGATTCCCTCTCCTTCTGCTTCACCCACTCCTCAACCTGCACCAGTTGCTCACGCCTCTGCACCAGATGAGGGTTTCGTTCCACCTCTGCCTGGATCCAGCGCTGCAGGTCATCCTTTGTCATTCTCAGGAGGTTATCATCATCTTTTCTGCTACTCATGGTTCTACTGTTGGAGCAACATAATGAAAAAGGCCAATCGTTAATAACTGCACAATAACTGATTTGCTCATAGCATATTGTGCATCACACACTACATACCTGTTTTTGAGTTTTGACATTTTGCATAATTTTCCGTATAAAGGAATAGTTGACCCAAAAAATTAAAATAGCTGAGAATGAACCCTCAGCGCATTCAAGATGCATATGTTCAGAACAGATTTGGAGAAATTTAGCATTACATCACTTGCTCTGCAATGGATCTTCTGCAGTGAATGGGTGCCATCAGAATGAGAGTCCAAACAGCTGATAAAAACAGCACAATAATCCACAAGTAATCCAGTCTGTTAGTTAACACCTTGTGAAGTAAAAAGCAGTGTGTTTGTAATAAGAAACTTCAAATCACTGCTTCAGGCTAAAATATGATATGTTCCATAATATTGTTTTTTCTAGTGAAAATGTCCTGTCTGAATCAGAAGAGAGATATGCACAGATCAAGCAATATTTACAAGTGAAAACTGTCCAAAAGTTCTAAACAAATTTGCCAGGGGATTTTGTTGTGAGAGGTCAACAGGGGATGGAAGAGTTATTACGGATTATAGACTTCTATTTTAACGATGGATTTGTTTCTTACAAACATGCCGCTTTTCACTTCACAAGACGTTAAGTGAGTGAGTGAAGTGACATGTGGATGATGGTCTGTAACCATGTGGATTATTGTGATGTTTTTATCAGCTGTTTAGACTCTCATTCTGACGGCACCCATTCACTGCAGAGGATCCACTGGTGGGCAAGTGATGTGATGAAATACGCCTTTAACTTGGATTTGACTTCACATTGGGATCTAAGCAATATTCTGTTTTTGTTGTTTAAGCATTTGTACAACATCTCTACATAATGTATATATTTGTACATAAACACCTCTTGAACAGACACATAGTGTGAATGCAGGATGCATATTGTCCAGCACTTAACACATGGCCAATACTCTTGATTGACAGCTCAAACGGCAGTAACTAGTAGTAACTTAGTTACTGTAATAATATTACTTTTTGCAGTAACTAGTAGTTTAACTAATTACTAATAAGATTTCAGTAATAATATTACAGTTACCATCCATAAAACAGCGTAGTTACTTTTGATGCCTCAACCCCGCTGATTTAAAATCCAACAATCAAATAATTCCTAGATTTATTTTCATGATTTTCAGGAATCGCACATGCATGTGATGTCCCCAGTGCAGCAGGCAAGCTTGGAATATGGAAAAGCTTACATTCAGCAGATAGAAATATTGCATTATATTGATTTTGTCAGGAATAAATATGATCTGAACACTGTTGTGTAAGTTGTGGCTTTACTTTACTCTGGCATTACATCCCACCGACACCCCTCTGATCAGCATGTGGTACATTATATAATTAAAATATCTTTTCGGAATCTTTTTGGCAGTTTCTTACAAACTTATGTGATTTGATCAAATACATAATGAAAGCTTCAAGCTACACATGACAACTCATGAGATTAATACAACACTTCTACTTGAATGTGACTATCAATCACTATTGAGTGTTTGTAATAACTTCTGACTGCGATCCAATGTGGATTTTGGTCAAATGGTGAGGCAGAAATATGTTGTTAGTAACATTCTAGAAGAATTTTATGTGGAAGGATACAATTCATAATGATGGCGTCAAGGTACACAAAATAACTCATGAAATAATTACAATACTTATACTTGAATGAGACTATCAATCACTTTTGAGTTGATTTAAAATCCAACAATCAAATAATTCCTAGATTTATTTTCATGATTTTCAGGAATCGCACATGCATGTGATGTCCCCAGTGCAGCAGGCAAGCTTGGAATATGGAAAAGCTTACATTCAGCAGATAGAAATATTGCATTATATTGATTTCGTCAGGAATAAATATGATCTGAACACTGTTGTGTAAGTTGTGGCTTTACTTTACTCTGGCATCACCCACATCCCTCTGATCAGCATGTGGTACATTATATAATTAAAATATCTTTTCGGAATCTTTTTGGCAGTTTCTTACAAACTTATGTGATTTGATCAAATACATAATGAAAGCTTCAAGCTACACATGACAACTCATGAGATTAATACAACACTTCTACTTGAATGTGACTATCAATCACTATTGAGTGTTTGTAATAACTTCTGACTGCGATCCAATGTGGATTTTGGTCAAATGGTGAGGCAGAAATATGTTGTTAGTAACATTCTAGAAGAATTTTATGTGGAAGGATACGGTTACAACTTCTGTGGGGCGTGAAGAAAAAGTAAAGTAACTAGTAGTGTAACTAATTACTGTTGCCAGAAAGTAATAAGTAACTATTACTTTTGAAAGGAGCAACTAGTAATGAGTAAAATATTACATTCTTTGAGTAACTAGCCCAACACTGCTGACATATGAAGAACTGTAAAGAGGCGTGACAACTGGAGGGAATATATAACATAACTTATATAACTCCATTCCCTTTAAACTGACTAGAATTAAGGCCTAATAAACCAAAATGTGGCTACTCTTTGCTATGGCAATATGGCAACCGCGTAAAGCAAGATAACAACACAAGGTGACATACATACGGTCCAGTTCCCCAACTTGCAGCTGTAGTATGTTTGAATCCTGAAGACACTCGAGTAACAATATCAAAAAGCGCGCAGCTGCAGGATTATATATGGCGGACACTATTCCGCTTGTTTATATGTTGGCAAAGCACAAAGTCTACCAATGCTGCAAGGAAAAGTCTTTATAGATAGCCTACAACTTACGACATTACATGAAAAACTAAAAAGTGCGCAATAAAATTAACTAAAACCGCATGGTGGAAAACAATGCCCAGACTGTTACTGTGCCTGTGCTGTGTGGCGGCGGACGCAGTCTACAAGAGACGTTCTGATTGGTCCAGTACACGTTGACGCGGGAGGATTAGTCACACCCACAAAACACTTTAATCGCTTGCCATCAACGAGGATCTAAAATAGGTGGACTTAACGGGCATAGTTGTAATTTTTTAAGTGTGTCAGCTCTAAATGATAATTATTGTAGTTTAACGCGTAGTTCCACGTGTGCTTTCTATCAAATGGCTATTAAAGATTCTATTTGTATTTTTAGTGCTGTAATTTATCGTCAAACTCGCTTATGGACGAACCATCGCACTTGCCAACTGTTACTTTTCTCAGCGCTGGCATAGATGGACCAATCACAGTTGGTTAGTCAGCCTGTGATTAGTCTTTGATGGAAAAGGATGGAACTCGGCGGATAATCATCTTTTTAAGTGGGAGAACTTGCACAATTGGTGGCTGACTAAATACTTTTTTGCCCCACTGTATGTTACAAGCAATGTCTGTATTTGGTATCTGAGAGAAGCAGAGAAGCTTCCAGAGAATAAATATTTATTTGTTTTATAATAATTCATCTGAATCATTATATAAACAGATGTTATATTTTATAGAAAAAGAGTTATCATTTTGAACTTTGTTCTTAATTTATTATGTGGTGCTCATGATAGATGTATGAGACATTTAAAGACCAATGCACCACATGTATCCACTAACTTTTATGTATGTTAGCCTATCAGAATCTGTGGAAATGGCGTCAACTGATCATCCGTATGACTATCAGTACTAGTGGGTCTATATTCTGAGTTAGTTCAAGGGTGGCTCCTCTTACTAATTTTCTACGGCCTTTGGAAGTGTGGAGAACTCTGTCTTCACTAAACTGTCTGTCAACTGATTGAACTTGACTCCTGGTGTTCATTGAGCATATTGGTCTCTCACTACGGGGTTTAACTGTAGTTCCCCTACAGTTTCACACTAATGCTGAAATTAAATCAATTCTGAAATGAAATCACCTGAGAGATTCAGAGAAGTAAGGCATGTGTTTCCCGGATGAATGACTTTCCCTCCAGCGTGCACGATTCCAGGATCCAATAGAGGAATCACTGTCTCAACCACGTCCACTCTCTGACAAACAAATGTGTCCATGTTTAATGGGAAATATCTAATTATAGCAAAAGGGGTTTCATAAACTCATGAAATTCTTATCTCGCGGGGCAACAAACAAATTAAATATGATTTTATATATATATATATACAGTGGGGGAAAAAAGTATTTAGTCAGCCACCAATTGTGCAAGTTCTCCCACTTAAAAAGAAGAGAGAGGCCTGTAATTTTCATCATAGGTATACCTCAACTATGAGAGACAAAATGAGAAGAAAAAAAATCCAGAAAATCACATTGTAGGATTTTTAAAGAATTTATTTGCAAATTATGGTGGAAAATAAGTATTTGGTCAATAACAAAATTT